CATCAAGAATATTGGTCTGTAGTTTTCCTTTTGTGTTGTGACTTTGTTGGTTTTTGTATCAAAGTGATGTTGGGCTCCTAAAAAGAGTTTTGCAGAATTCCATCCTTTCCTTTATAAAAAGATCTATTTGAAAGTCAGAGTTACAGAGAGGGGGATGAGGGAGAGGGAAAGAGAGAATTACTTCTGAGATCTCTTGCTTTTCTATTTCTTGCAAGGTAGGTCTGCTATCAATAAATTCTCTCCATTTTTGTTTATTTATAAAAGTATGTATGTTTGCATTTATTTTTATAGGATCCTTGATTTATAGATGCTCCTACCAAGCACTTTGAATATGTTATTCCACTGTTGTAGGCTTCGATTGTTTCTGCTAAGAAGTCGATTGTTAAATTATTGGGATTTCCTTGTAAATGAAGCATGGTTTTCCTCTTTCTACTTTCAAAAGTAAAGCTCTTCTTATTGCCTTTGAATTTCACCATTGTTACTATAATGAGTCTATTTACGTATATCTGTGCAGTCATCTTACATAGAATTTCTGGAGCTCCTTGGAAATGTAGTTTATTGTTTTTCAATAAATTGGAAATGTTTTCTGCCTTTATTTATTCAACCCATTTTTCACTGCTTCTTTGTCTCTTTCCTCCTGGTCCTTACATTATGCATATGGTGATGTTTTTACTGGTGTCCCCAATATCTGATGATCTGTTCATTTTTCTTCATTTATTCTTGGTGTTTTTTGAATTGCATACTCTCTAGTAATACTTGCGAAGTTCATTGACTTTTCATTCTAACAGTTCAAATCTATTCTTGAGCTCCTTTAGTCAATTATTTGTCACTTATTGTACTTTTCAACTTCAGAATTTTCATTTTTTTAATTTTTTTATTTTTTGACAGGCAGAGTTAGACAGTGAGAAAGAGACAGAGAGAGAGAAAGGTCTTCGTTTTCCATTGGTTCACCCGTTCTGTGGCCGCTACGGTCGGCATGTTGCGGCCGGCATGCTGTGTCAATCCGAAGCCAGGAGCCAGGTGCTTCCTCCTGGTCTCCCATGCAGGTGCAGGGCCCAAGGACTGGGCCATCCTCCACTGCACTCCTGGGCCACAGCAGAGAGCTGGACTGGAAGAGGAGCAATCAGGACAGAATCTGGTGCCCCAACCAAGACTAGAACCCAGGGTGCTGGCGCCACAGGCGGAGGATTAGTCTAGTGAGCTGCGGCGCCAGCAAGAATTTTCATTTTTTTATATTTTCATTGTTTATCAATAATTTCTATTCAACACAACGCTGTCATCATATCTTTGTTTATTTAATCCTGATTTCCATTCACCCAGTAAACATATTGACCAAGGCTATTTTGAAGTCTCTTTCTATTAAATCCAATATCTGGTTGCTCTCACAGGCGGTTTGTATCTCCTTCTTGAGTGTGCATGTATGGATGATCTTTTTTCCTATCTTATTTCTTTTTTGTTGTTGTTGTTGTTGCTAATAACTGGGCATTTGAAGATGATACAGTAAGTCTAAACACACATCCTTGGGATTACTGTTGTTTTTTATTTGTTTGGTGACTGGCTGGACTATTTTTGTGAACTTTATCTCAATTGCAGTGGAAGATCCTTACATCATTCTTCAGGAGATGCAGCCTAGTTTGTAGCATGCATACACCCACGTCAGATGACCAGCATTTTGGCAGAGCTTTTTTTATTGCTTTCTTTGATCACATCTACCTATTACGCTTTACCAGTTGGTGACTGTTTGGGCCATTTTTTTAACACTATCTAGGCAATAAACAGTTCTACATACACAACCGATTATATCCAGGCCCCTTTGCAGCTTTAGTTTTCTGTAACAGTGCTTGAGGTTTGCTCGGCTGCAAATTTTCTTGGAGTTATGAAGGGAGTAAAGCTAACAACTTGTCAAATATTAAAAAGCATATTGCATAATGGAGCAGGGACTTTCCTCAGATTGCCAAAGTACTTTCCAGAAAGATTGTGTCAAAATAGACCAAAGCCTTTAAAATGCTCATACACTTTAATCCAAGCATTCCTTTCTATTGGACTAGAGAACAAGTGTATTTTAATGTATATCAACTAGTAGCTTGTTAATAACAAGGTAAAATGGACTTAAAACAGATTTCTATCAAAAGAGAATGAGTTAAAAATAATGGTACATAATTGATTATATCTAATTATGTTACAGATTTTTCTTTGTTAACATGGACAGATTTCTGCAATACATTGTAGTTAAAACACTCTCCAACATTCTACTTTTTTGAATGTCAACTTTAATCACTTATTTTTACTTGGAAGGCAAACAGACAGACAGATAGAGGCCCTCCAAATGCTGGTTCACTCCCCAAATTTTGTAACTGAGGAAACTGGGCCAGGCCAAAGTCAGGAGCGCAAAACAGAATTCAGGCTTCCCATGTGGGTGGCAGGGAATCCGGCTACTTGAGCCAGTAGCTGCTGCCTCCCAGGGTGAGCGCTAACAGGAAGCTGAAATTGGAAGCACAGCTGGCACACAAACTGGGCACTGTGATCTACATGCTGGTGTCTCAATCACTATGCCAAACCCCAATATTCTTTTTATTAAAAGATTTATTTTATTTATTTGAAATACAGAATTACAGAGAGAGAGGGAGAGAAACAGAGAGAGAGAGAAAGAGAGAGAGAGAGAGAATCTTCCAACCACTGGTTCATTCCCCAAACGGCTGCAATTGCCAGTGCTGGGCCAGGCTGAAGCCAGGAGCTTGGACTCCACCTGGATTTCCCACATGGTGGCAGAGGCCCAGAAACTTGGGCCATCTTCTGCTGCTTTCCCAGGCACATTAACAGGGAGCTGGATCGTATGTGGAGCAGACCAAGCTCAAACCGGTACTCATATGGGATGCCAGCATTGCAGGTGGAAGCTTAACCATATGGACCATGACACCAACCCACCCCTATTCTACTTTTCTAAAATAATATGAAAAATAATCCTGGAAAGGTAATATTAAAATACTAATAGTAGCTTTTAGGTAGTCAACAAGATATTTTCTAGATTTTAATTTGGATTTTTAAATATATTTCTGGTTACAATAGTTTGATAAATGCCTTCCCATTTTGAAAAATGTAAGAATGTGATAGATATTGGCATTTTTTTCTATTCATAAAGTCCTTTAAATGTTGGTTTTTTTCCAGTGTCCAGTTAGGCTGGCTTGATTCAGCACCTGATCCTTGAGTTTGAAAGTCAAGTTGGATCCATATTATACAGTAAATATGTTTCCCATTTGTTAAAAGAGGAGCCAGACTTTCTCAGAACCACTGTGACTCTGAAGTGGCAAATCATAGCCATCCCATCTGTGCTCTCTGTAAGTGCTTAGATCCAGGGCCCATTCAGAGATTCATCAAAACTAGCGTGATGAGTCAGAAGGTTGAAAAACAAGCTAAAATGAACCTAGAAACCCATGATACACCTACACAAGTGAGGCTAGGGAGAGGAACAAAGGGGAGAATAGAACCAGAGACAGCTGTTCTAAGTAGAGATGGATGTGGAAAAGGTGGAGAAGTAGGCATCAATAAAAAAAAAAAAGACACAGAGATTAGAAGATGGGGCAAAATAAAGGTGAGAATGAGAGGGAGATACAACAGCAAGAAAAGTGCTATAGAGGAATCCCCAACAAGGATGATCTCAGTGGAAATCATACTCCATAGGTGAATCAGTGAGTAAAAGTCACTGATACTCAGAAGATGTGTATACTCTACTCCATATATATTACATTTCAATTTTTAAAGCCGCCTCCTGCAGTGCTGGTATCCCATATGGTCGCCGATTCAAGTACCGGCTGCTCCACTTCCAATCCAGTTCTCTGCTATGGCCTGGGAAAGCAGTAGAAGATGGCCCAAGTCCTTGGGCCCAGGCACCCACATGGAAGACCTGGAAGAAGTTCTTGGCTTCTGGCTTCGGATCGGCATGGCTCTGGCCGTTGCAGCAAATTGGGGAGTGAATCAGTGGATGGAAGACCTATCTCTCTCTCTCTCTCTCTCTCTCTCTCTCTCTCTGCCTCTCCTTCTCTCTGTGTATAACTCTTTCAAATAAATAAATAAATATATTTTTTAAATCATCAAGATGTAGCTGTGAGGCCAGGGGTTGAGGGGCTGAGAGGTCTCTAGAATTAGAGCGGTCAAGGAGAATCCATTTGCACTAATTGGAAGCAAACTGAAAACTAACAAGAGAAGGAGTTGGAGGAGAAGGAGAAGAAGAAAGAAAGAAAAAACTACAACCTCCCCTAAAGAAGTACAAATGGCAATTCTTTTTCTTTCTTTTCCCTCAGGTTTGGCTCATATCTTTATCATCAAGATTATAAATAGGGGTCGGCATGGTGGCATAATAGGCTAAGCCTCTGCCTGCAGCACCAGCATCCCATATGGGAGCCAGTTCATGTCCCTGCTGCTCCTCTTTAGATCCAGCTCTCCGGTATGGCCTGGGAAAGCAGCAGAAGATGGCCCAAGTGCTTGGGTCCCTGCACCCATATAGGAGACCTGGAAGAAACTCCCGGCTCCTGGCTTCGGATCAGCTCAGTTCCAGCCATTGCGGTCATTTGGAGAGTGAACCAGCAAATAGAAGACCCATCTCTCTGTCTCTCCCTCTCTGTGTCTATAACTCTACCTCTCAAGTAAATAAAATATAAAATAAAATAAAATAAATTAAATAAAGATTGCACCCTAGCTCTCATGTACCCTGTGCCCCTCTTGGTTCACAGACCTGAGTTTGTTATCATCACAGTTCAGTCTTATTGATCACGGCTACCGTGTTCAAAAAAAATTGTAAATAAAAATTAGTTGATATCTTTCCTCATATAATAAGTTTCTCAACTTAAAAACAATGAGGTTGGTATGTACAGTCAAAACCACTGTTAAGCTGAAAGTGACATTAAGTCATAAATGTATTTAACATGCCTAAGCAACAGAACAGCCTAGCTTAGCCTAGCCTACCTTGCACGTGCTCAGGACACTTTGTCTAACACCAGTCTTACCCTGCAGTGTCACATCAAGTGGCATTCAGTTGTTCCGCCTTATCTTCAAGTGCCTGACTGGGAGCTGCGGCTCACTGCCCCTGCCCAGCTTTGAGAGGCAATATCTCACTGAATACCACCAGCCTGGAAAAAGATCAAAATTGAAACATTTATGTACAATTTCTACTCAATGTGTACTGCTTTCACTCCAAGGCAGAGCTGAAAGATTGCAAACCAAACCATTTTAAGTCCTGGGACATCTGTGCTGATATTGACATTTATATCAATATAAATATAAGTAAATTCTTCCACAAAGCACTAAAATACTTTACACAACACAATCTGTGGGTGCCTTGACCTTGTTTTTTTGTTATTTTTTTTTTACTCAAGATGAGAAAATATTGAAGATCATTTTGAATACTACTTTTGGGAAAAGAAATTACACTCAGTGAGAATCATTAAATCTATGTCAGTAGATTCAACTTATCTGGTTAACTAGGGAGATTTGCCAAAGTTAATAATATCCAGTGAACTTTTTAGTTAACTTGAATGTCCTCACTGGAGATTTTATTAAAAGTTTCACCTTTAGAGACTGGGATTTGGACAAGTTCCACAACAGCAAATAATTTTGTTTGCAAACAATGCACAATGGACATTATTAGGGAATATGTAGGGATTTCTGGAAGAGGCACACTAGCGTGACAGAGAACAGTATTTTCATTGAGGACTCCCTTTGGACAGAGACATCATTAGCTGGAAAAGATGATGTTCATTCTTTAAGAACCACAATTTCATGCTTTGAAACAAAGATTCCTAATTAAAAAAATCTCTCCAGAAAGCTGAAAATGATTCCTTTCAATTAAGAAATGTACAGCAATACAATGTCAGACAAGTTGTCCTATAGCCCTGCCCCCAGATAGTCTATAGCAAAGGTTTATTTCATAAGAGACCTCTACATTCTTCAGCCTTAAAATGTGTGTGGCTGTTCCAGTGAAGGATTGTGAAATGTACTTTTTGGCCTGAATGTCTCATACACCAGCAAATCATAATCATGCAATCAGTAAATCTTCCTAGCCCTCTTTCTCTTGCAAAATGTCATACAAGCTTCCAACTACAGAAGCGCTTCACAAAGGTAAAAATGACTGCTGTTAGGGAAAACTTGAATCTTTCACAAGTGTTACTTAAGAACAACAAAATCGCTAAGTTTCACCTTCAAGGAGACAGCATGCCAGCTGGATGAGTGCTGTGGTTTGATCATGATTTGGCTCCTGAACTCATGCAGACATTTAAATTCCAAAGTCATAAATTAATTATGCTAACAATGGGGACACTTAATCCAATTAGGATGTGAATTAGGTGGGCCTACTGGAAGGTCCATGGATCACTAGGGGTATGCCTTAAGAAGGCAATTTTTTTTAAGTTTTTTTTTTAAGATTTATTTATTTATTTGAAAAGCAGAGTTACAGAGAGGCAGAGCTGCTAGGAGAAAAAGAGAGAGAATCTCCCATCCACTAATTCACTCCCCAAATGGCCACAATGGCCAGGGCTGGGCCAGGCCAAAGCCAGGAGCTAGGAGCTTCTTCTGGGTCTCCCACATGGGTGCAGGGGCCCAAGTACTTGGGCCATCCTCTGCTGCCTTCCCAAGTGCATTAGCAGGAAGCTGGATTGGAAGTGGAGCAGCCGGTTCTTGAACCAGCACCCATATGTGAAGCTGGCATGCAGGTGGCAGCTTTACCTGCTATGCCACAGTGCTGGCTCCAGAAGGTAATTCTTACAAGAATTGTAAAACCTGAGTGGGGCCAGTTTCTCTTTCTCTCTCTCTCTCTCACTGCTTCATGGCTCACCACATGCTTCTACCATTGGTATCTATCCACACTTAGGACAAACTAATGGAGTGACCAAATATTACACTCAAACCTCCAAAACTGTAAACTGAATAAATATCCTTTTCCTTCAGAAGTAGCTTATCTCAAGTATTTTATGATAGTGATGAACAAATACTTATACAGTAAGATTTAAATAAGAAAATGTGAACAATGGACTAAACATATTGTCAGATCCCATCTTCATTTGAATTTCTCCAAAAGCAAACACCAAGACAAGGATATGGTTGCAAGAAGTTCATATGGGACTTAATCGTAAAATGCAGAATGAGTTATGGAGAAGAGAGTCAGAAGTGAGAGAAAAGTCCATAAATGTTCTAATAATGAAGATTGAATACATCTGCAAGAAACCACAGAACATCTGAAAGACAGTATAAAACAAATACCAAAATTGACTCACCAAGAACCGAGAAAGTCAAGGTACCTATCCACCAATCCCCATATTTCACTGGTTGATAATCATTCCAGAGTGTTAGATTTCTGGTGATTTCAATTTGATCATTTCTAAGATCCTTGGAAATGCAGTATGACCAGAGAACAACATCAGAAAAACAAAGGTGGGGTTGGAGGCACAAAAAGCCTTAGGTTGTACAGAAACGGCCTGCATATGATGAACCGGGTGGGCCCTCACTGAGGGCAAGTATGTGATCATTGGACCAAAAACTAGCATGGAGTCAAGAAAAAGGTTAATGATCAATTAGACTTTAGGCAGATTCTAGAAGGAGATAAATGAGAAGCAGAGTGGGTACACTGTCAAAAGAAGAGGAGATAAGAAGGCCAATAGCAATGTAGATTGATTCTTAAGTTTGATGAATAAATGAAGGAATGAATAACAGCACCATGTGATTATTCTCTTCCCAAATAAAGGCTGAAATGTAAACACACACACACACACACAAACACAAGGCCAATGGCCTAGTCAGGTAGCTCACAACTTCATCTGTTATAGAATGTTCCTGCAAAGAGCTAGATATGTAGAGACTTTCAGGGATACAAACATAAAATATTTAGAATAATGGGGAGCTCAAGGAACAGTGTTGGAGGGAGATTTCATCTTCTGATTGAAGATATTAAAGTTCAATTTTTCTTTTAAGACAATAAGGCAGCAAAATGAACAATGACAAGAGTCAAGCTTTTGATCTGAAACTCCTAGAGAAGACAGGCAGATGTAGCTGAGAAGGGAATTAAGAGAATGTGGCAGACTTTGAAAGTTGATCTAAAGAGCTTAGACTTTATCTGACAAATAATCGGGTGACATTAGAGGTTATCTCTGTAAGGATATGTAAGATTGATGTGAAAAAGATGGATATAGAGCCATCACAGGAGGAAATACTGTAAAAACCTAGAAATCAGAGAATCAAACAAGACTGAATATTTTTGTGTTTTTTTAAAAATATGCTGTAACTATCAGATATTTTAGCAGCATAATCTAAAACAAATGATGACACTAAAACATTAAACAATAGCAGTAATTACAACAATTTCAAAGAAATTCCTGCTATAGCATAATATTTGATATTTGTAAAAGTATCCTTTGTTGATGAAGTCATTTATCAGTTATTATATACAGAGATGAGGATAATGGCAGTACCATAGATGGTATTGAAGAATTGAGCATGAAGATGTTGAAAGTCTCCCCATTGCTCTTAGGATACACTTGGGAATCTTGACCATGGGCTGCAAGGTCCTGCAGTATCTGAACACTGGCTCTTGCTCCAACTTCATTTACCACTACTATCTCTCTAATTTACATTGACTTTTCAGCTCCCAGATCCCACTAAGTTACTTCCTAACTCAGAGCCCTTTAATGTTGTAGATGGTATGACAGAAGTTACAGATTTCTTCCAATCCAGTGGGATTTTTTTTCTTCCCATTAAGGATTTTGTGTTCATATTGCTGATAATGATAAATGGTATAAACTCATATGAATGAAAATCAAAACATGCCCTTTAAATTTTCTTTAAAAATGCGAATTTTACTTACTCTCTAGGTCTCAAAGGATACATATCATTATTCCAATTTTGTATGTCTGCAGTGTTTACAGCACTCAGTTCCCCAGATGTGCTCTGATGTCAATGCTAAGTAAATCCCCTCGGTATTGATTTGAATATATGAACCATTTTCAACCAGTGACATAAATATTAACACTGATCTACCTGTAGAAGTATTCAGTTAAATGGTCAAAGGATAGGGTTTGATTTCTGGATCTCCTTTTAAAACTAACACCAGGAATCAACTGGCCTCTATAAAACTCTTACTAGAGAAATCCAGGTGAGAAAAAATTTAGAATTTGTTTTCACTAAAAATGCTAATCTCCTAAAATATTTATTTCTCTAAGTTATTTAGGATGTTTTTTTCCTTGCAATTCTACCTTTTCAATTTTTTTAGATCTCTAAAGTCTTTCCTCTTTAAAGTTTCTTGAATGAGCACTAGACATATGACTATCATTTATTTGTATAACTTCTGAACAAGAGGAATCTATGTTTACAAAAAATAAGAACAATATTTTGTAGTCATAACAGGCTAAATCAATGAAGCTTTTGAAATTTCTTTGAACAGTATGGTTTGCCACATAGAACACAGATGAAATGAAATTGTTAGCCTCTATTATGAAGTTCTGTTTAAACTTTTGTGTTAGGCACTCCCTATGTGTTAGACAAATTATATTAGCAAGGACTATAATTTCAAGCCAATATTTTAAACCCCTGATGTAATTTTTTATAGCACTCTAGTTTTTCTTTAGATTTTTAGAGAAATAAGAAACAAAATATCAGTGTAAATCTTATTGCTGTTTGATCATTTATAATCATCTGGGAAACTGAAGGGAATTAACTTCAAGCTGGCAAGGATATAAAATTTAATTTTTTAAAACCACAAATCACATAGATTTCAAATTTTCTTTTTTTTCTTTCTTCTCTACTTTCTTTAAGACAGGGAGAGTGGGGGGAGGGAGGGAAACAGAGAGAGAGAGAGAGAGAGAGAGAGGTCTCAGTTACTGGTTCACAGCCCAAATGCCCACAAGAGTTAAAACTTGGAGCCAGGAACTCAACACAAGGCTCTAGTAGTTGGGAGGAACCCAATTACTTGAGACATTACCACTGCCTCCCAGACTCTGCATTAGCTGAAGAACAGAACCAGGAGTAACAGCACTCAACTGTGGGACCGGGGTGTCTTAACCACTAAGTTAAATGCCAGCCCCCAAATGTTATTTTAAAAATACTGTATTTAAAGGTGTCATCTCCAAGTAATCCATGATATAAAAGTTAATTATATTTTCAGGAAACCAAAAGAGAAGAGATCTTCCTGTATCTATCTCCCTAAACCACTTCTCTGTTTATGAAATTTGGAGTATAGTATGGTCATTAAATATCCAGAAAACTGTCGATCTGGAAATGTCAACTGATCATCTAAAGAAACTGCACAAAGCACACATTCTACAGATATATATCAACGATAAATCATCCTCACAGTAACTAAACTGAACTATGACAGACTAAAATGAAACATTCCTCTAGATGGTGTACTAGTTAAATCCGCCACCTGTGATGCTGGCATCCCAAATGGGCACCAGTTGGAGTCCAAACTACTCCACTTCCGATCCAGCTCCTTGCTGATGCTCCTGATAGAGCAGCAGAGGATGACTCAAGTGCTTGGATTCCTGTACCCACATGGAAGACCTGGAAGAAACTCCCGGCTCCTGGCTTTGGCCTGGCCCAGCCCTGGCCATTGAGGCCATCTTGGGAGTGAATCAGCAGATGAAAAGATCTATCTCTCTCTCTCTCTGTTTCTCCCTTTGTCTGTCTTTCAAATAAATCTTTAAAAAAAAAAAAAAGAAGAAGAAGCATTCTCCAATAGCTGAGAATTCTTATCTATAAGGGCTTATCCAAAGAATAAATACAGGAAGCTTTAAAATTATAATTTTAATAAATATGAGCACCATAGAACACATGGGTATTATTGGAACACTGGCCTTCAAAAGATTGAAAGTTGGGGCCAGCAATTGTCGCATGATGGGATAAGCCACGACTTGCCACACCAGCAATTCCATATGGACTCCAGTTTGTGTCCTGGCTGCTTCACTTCCAATCAAGCTCTGGGCTAATGCGCCTGGGAAAGCAATGGAAAATGATCCAAGTGCTTGTACCCCTGCCACCCATGTGAGAGACCCAGATGAAACTCCCAGCTTGAGTTTGTCTCAGCCTTGATCATTGGGACCATCCAGTGAGTGAACCAACAGATGGAAGATCTCTCTCTCTTCTCTTGCTCTCTCTCTCTCCTCTCTCTCTCTTTCTCTCGCTGTCTCTCTCTCTTTCAAATAAGCACAAAAAATTTTAAAAACAGAAAGGTAAAATTTGACCCCAAAGAGATACTGTTTTCCACAGAGGCCACTGATTTTAGGAGTTGGGAGGGTTGCGGGTGGGAGGGAAGTTATGGGGTGGGGGGAGCCATTGTAATCCATAATCTGTACTTTGGAAATTTATATTTACTAAATAAACGTTAAAAAAAAGAATACATTTTAAGAATGAGTTAGGACAAAATGTGAGTATATACTTGAATGGTTTAGAATGTATATAACAATGTCAACAAATTATTATCATTTATAACTCTTGATACATTTACCTTAGGAATATAGCAGGCATTCCTTCAGAACATCATTGTGGCATTATCTGCTATAGAAATGTAAGGTTCAAGAAACTTAAATTGGGTCTCCAATGATCATTGTGGACTTTCAATACTTAAAACATAGAGCAATCTAACAGCAAGTCATTTTACTTACTTAATAATTTTTTTTTCTAAAAGTAATGACCATTGTAGAGAATCTGAAATAGAGGAAAATATAAAGAAGAAAAAATGACCTATCATTTGCATTACACAGAGAAAGCTAGTATTGATATTTTTTCTGTTTCCATGCTACATTTCTTTTATATTTAAATGTAAGAATTTACACGGAAATTAGTATTATATACAATTAGATAATTATATTTTTTTAATCAAACCCTTTAAACTGGTTAAAAAATGGATTTCTTTTGGGTTTTTCTGTTCTGCTTTCTAGTAATTATTCCTATTGGTTTATATAAGGTCTTCATAGAAAAAATTAGGGAAACATTCTGTTTACCACAAATAACCTTCTCGTTTAGTCATGATTTTGACATATACTTATATATGTTAATCTGTCAATTTTAAACCCTTGATCTTTCTCCATTTTAATAGCATTGAATTTCTTTATACATATGCCCACATGAGTAATTTTACATTGCATGCATAAATCATATTATAAATAATATGGAAGGATTTTTTTAAAGATGTATTTATATATTTGAAAGGCAGAATTACAGAGAGGTAGAAAGAGAGAGGTCTGCCATCTGCTGGTTCAATCCTGAGATGGCTGCAATGGCTGGAGCTGCGCCAATCCAAAGCCAGGAGCCAGGAATTTCCTTTCAGTCTCCCACAAGGGTACAGGAGCCCAAGGACTTGGGCCATCCTACCTTGTTTTCCCAGGCCATAACAGAGAGCTGTATCAGAAGTGGAGCAGTTGGAGACCTTTCTCTCTGTCTCTCTCTCTCACTGTCCACTCTGCCTGTCAAAAAAAAAAAAAAAAAAAAAAACCAACAACAACAAAAAAGAAAAATCAAAATACTTTAGTAGAGCATTTTTTCTTTCTCCTTCTCTCTCTTTGCCCTCTGCTTCCATTAGTATCACTTTCCCTCCCCAGTTCCCAGATATATAAACATCTTAAAAATATTCCCCTTTTCCGTGAGTGAGATCCCAGTGGAAAGAACAGGTCTTCAAAGAGGGAGGTGCCTTTCTCTGAAGGGAGGAGAGAACCTCCACTTTGACTATGACCGTGTCTAAACAAGATAAGAGTCGGAGAACTCAAGGGGCTTCCATAGCCTTGGAAACTCATGACTGGTGCATAGGGAGATTACTGATGCCATAAACAGGAGTGTCAATTTGTAAAGTGAACAACAGGAGTCACTGTGCACTTACTCCTCATGTAGGATCTCTGTCCTTAATGTGCTGTACACTGAGGCTTAATGCTATAACGAGTACTCAAACAGTATATTTCACTTTGTGTTTCTATGGGGGTGCAAACGATTGAAATCTTTACTTAATGTACACTAAACTGATCTTCTGTAAAAAAAAAAAAAAAAAAAAAGAAATTATCAATTCCCAACTTGACTCTCACTGGGATTAAACATGACAATAGGTCTGAAAAAAAAAAAATATTCCCCTTTTCCCTTAAGCACTTTAAGTCTATACTACAATAGTATCAGAAATAATAAATTACTCATAATATGGAAATAAAAAGTCTTTTAAAATTTTTATTGTGTTGCAATATATAACATATATAACATGTAATATATAACATAAAAATTATTACATTAGCCATATTGTAGTATTACTTCAAAAATGTTAAGTACATTCATGAATATTCATATCTAGGACTTTTTTCATCTTCCCAAACTGAAACTTAGTACCCATTAAACAAGAGCTCCTCATTCCCACCTCTCCTTGACATCCACCATTCCACAAAAGTACCACAAAGAGTCCATGGAAAAGAGAATTAAAATATGACTTTATGTTTATGCAAAAGATTTTTTAAAATCTCTGGATACCTCAAATTTTTTGTCCTTTATGTCTGCCTTATTTCACTTAGCATATAGGTTCATCCATGTTGTAAGTTGTCAGATTCATTCTTTTTTTTTTTTTAAGATTTATTTTATTTATTTGAAAGACAGAGTTACAGAGAGAAGTAGAGACAGAGACAGAGAGAGAGGTCTTCCATCTGCTGGTTCACTCCCCAGATGGCCGCAATGGCCACAGCTGTGCTGATCTGAAGCCAGGAACCAGAAGTTTCTTCCAGGTCTCCCACATGGGTGCAGGGGCCCAAGAACTTGGGCCATCTTCTAGGCTATCCCAGGCCATAACAGAGAGCTGGATCGGAAGAGGAGCAGCTGGGACTAGAACCGGCGCCCATATGGGATGCCGGCGCTTCAGGCCAGGGCATTAACCCGCTGTGCCACAGCACCGGCCCCCAGATTCATTCTTTTCAACATTAAATAACATTCATGTTATACTCACATGTATATACCACACTAAATTTATCCATTCGTCTGTCTGTAGACATTGAGTGGTTTCCACCTTTTGGGTACTGTGAATAATGACAGTATGAATATTGATGTTTGAAAATATTTTTTTATTTATTTTCACTTTACTTGGGGTGGGGGGGAGAGCGTGCTTCCATTTGCTGGTTCACTCCTCAAATGCCAGCAACATTCATGACTGGGCCAAGCCCAAGTCAGAAACCTCGGACCCAATCCAGGTCTCTCATATGGGTGGCAGGGACCCAAGTACTTGAATTACCATGTGCTGCCTCCTAGAATGTGAAATAAGTTGTTTTGGAAGCAGATCCAAGACTCGAACCAAGGACTCTGATATGGGATGTGGGCAACCCAAGTGATGTCTTAGCTGCTGAGCCAAACGTTTATTCCTGAAAATAGTCTTTTAAATAACATTATTAATCATGATGTATATAGCCACTGAAATTGTTTAGGAAAACTGATACCAACTGTTAACATTTAAACTATGACTCAGCTTTACCTAATCCAAATAGAGAAATATTTTGCCCTGATTATTTCTCTCAAGACCTCAAAAGCCTTTATGTGCATATGTTATGATGTTTATAATGAAAAAAAGTTGGAAAATGTGCAATAAACAACCAATAATGTAAAAGTTTAGGGTAAATGATAATTCTCAAGAATTTAGAATGCATTGAAGTTCAGGTTACATGTGGAAGCATTGTGAAAGATATTTCTCTTCCTTTGAGCCAAACTAAGCTAAATTATATTTGGGGAATGTTATAAATTAATATTTTATTTCTCCACAATTATTTTTCAGAGAAATTAGGAATGCCTGAAGAAAATCATAGCATGAAAAATGAGTTTATCCTCACAGGATTTACAGATAAACCAGAGCTAACCTCTCTGTTTTTTGTGGTATTTTTTGTCATCTATCTAGTGACCATCGTGGGAAATCTTGGTCTGATGATACTAATTTCAAAAGAGCGTTGTCTTCATACACCAATGTACATGTTTCTGGGAAACTTGGCTCTTGTGGATTCTTGCTGTGCCTCTGCAATTACTCCAAAGATGTTAGAGAACTTCCTTTCTAAAGACACAATGATTTCCCTCTACGAATGTATGCTGCAGTTCTATTTTCTTTGCACTGTTGAAACTGCAGATTGCTTTCTGCTGGCAGCAATGGCCTATGACCGCTATGTGGCCATATGCAGCCCCCTGCAGTACCACACCAGGATGTCAAAGAAGCTCTGTGTTCAGATGATCATCGGGGCCTTCATAGCTGGAAACTTGCATTCCATGATTCATGTAGGGCTTCTCTTTAGGTTAGCATTTTGTGCATCAAACCACATTCACCACTTTTACTGTGATATTCTTCCTTTGTACAGACTCTCCTGTGTTGATCCTTATGTCAATGAACTGGTACTATTCATCTTTTCAGGCTCAATTCAAGTCTTCACCATAGGTAGTGTCTTAATATCTTATCTCTACATTCTTTTTACGATTTTCAAAATGAAATCCAAAGAGGGAAGGGCCAAAGCCTTTTCCACTTGTGCATCCCACTTTCTGTCTGTTTCGTTATTCTATGGGTCTCTTTTCTTCATGTATGTTCGACCCAATTTGCTGGAAGAAGGAGATAAAGATATACCAGCTGGTGTTTTGTTTACAATAGTTGTTCCCTTACTCAATCCTTTCATTTATAGCCTGAGAAATAAGGAAGTAGTAAGTGTCCTGAGAAAAATTCTGAAGAAAAAATAATCTCAAAAAACTCTAACAAACCACATTTATTGCAGCTTAATGATCTGAATGGAGAAAAAACTTCCACATGAAATTACAAAGAGGAAATGCAAAAATTATATGCAAAATATTTATAAATTATAATACATTCAATTTAGGCAATAATAATATAAGGGGAGAGCATATTGAAAGGAGTCAACTGTGCTAAATCCTAACTCAAAATAACAAAAATCAGAAGCAAATCTTGAACTCATTCAAGTAACAACAGAATTTTTTCAAGTGCATGGACTGTTTCAGCATCAAACCTAATTAGCACCCAAAAGACAACAGCCAAATTAGCAACAGAACCACTCCATATTTATTAGCAGTCCACTTCAGCAGGTTAGAATATTAGCACTCCAAGTCAGCTGAAAAGGGTTAAGTTCATGTGAATCTCCAACAAATGACTCCACTTACAACCACAAGCAACAAAATAACAAATTTGTAACTCATGAATTTTGAGGGACATTATTATGGTTGGAAGTGGTGAAGAATGAAAATTTCAGATGACAATGAGTATTATATTTTCAAATTGAAATTGTTATGGAGTTAAATGACAAACACAAAATGTCCATTTTCCAATGAAAATACCTATAGAGTTTCAACTACTCCCATGTCTACATAAAGATTTGATAGCATAAAGCTCCAGACAATGTCACCCATGTGGGATCTGAAGAGTCACTGTTGGTGTTGCCTTAGGCTACGCCTCTTCTGTGCTCTTCCTGAGAGGTGAAAAAGGGACTCTAATGTGGGTCATGATATGGAGACATGAAAAAAGTACAATGTTGAACTATAGATATGCCTTATCTAAAATAATTTCTTTTTTTTTTCTTTTCACCATTGCAAGATCTAAACTTGTGAACAGTGACTAAAACCTCTGATCTTAATGTGACATTATAAAAGAATTACTTACCAAATATTCACTTAACTTTTATTTGTTGCAACCCTGCTATGTGGAAGAACTGTTCGAGGTCCTGGTATACATCAGTAGTCAAAATACCAGTTTTCCCATCTTCTTAAAGAAGAGAAAATTGCCATGATTTTAATTACCTACTTCTGGATCAAGGAGGGTGCATATCAAATAACAGGAAAACACCCCCTTTTGCTTCCTCTCTTTGCTCTGAAGCCACCTCTAAATTCCCAGAAGGCAACTGTCAGGTTGCAGCAGTACTCCAACCTAGACTGCCACACGAGACTTACTTCACTAGAAAATCAACATGTTGAGCCTACTTAGGAGAAGCAACATGAACAAAGATACATTTCCAACTCATGGATGCAAAACTATAACCAGGTACTTTCTCTTTGTAACCTCGAAGAGAATCTAACCTAACTCACTCTAATTATGCTTGGACTTTCAATGGTTTCCTCGATTATTTCAAGTTAAGTCCCATTAATTCAGCATCTTCCCAACTCCATTTCTCTCCTTCTGTGACTCTGTGTGAATGTGTAAGTCTCTTCCTGATAGCATGGCACTGAGTACAGATATCATGTTGCAAATGAGTTTAGTCCAAGCTGTAGTCCTCTGAGAAGTTTGAATCTATTTGAGTTTCTGGTAATCTCTTCACAGCACCATTACTGTATGTATCTGCATCCCTGTTTACTTAGTTCCCATGCTACAGTGATTGTCAGTTAAAGAATCTTCTTGTCCAAGTCCTACAAGGCTTAAGATCTGCTGGCTCTGCCTCTTGCTCTTTCTCCTCTATTTCTGAGCAAATTCTCCTAAACTCTTTTTCTCTAAGTCCATAGGAAACTGAAGGGCAAGCATTTTTTCATTTATTGGTTTGAGAGACAAAGCAACAGAGGGAAGAGACAGAGAAGGAGAGAGGGAGAGAGGGAGGGAACAAGGGAGGGAGAGAGAGAGAGAGAGACAGAGAGAGAGAGAGAGAGAAACAGAGAGATCTTGAATTTACTGGTTCAGTCTCTAAATGACCACAATGGCCAGGTCTGGACCAAGCTGAAGCCATCCTGTTCTCCAATATGAGTGGCAGAGGTCCAAATACCTAGGTCATATGCTGCTGCTTTCCCAGGCACATTAACAGGAAGCCGGACTGGAAGCAGCACAGCCTGTAGTCAAAGCAGTATTCTGATATGGATTCCAACATTACAAGTAGCGCTTAACCCACTGCGCCATATCGCCGGCTCCTTTTATGACAATTCTTAGTTCCTCAGACAACATTGTCACTTTAAGGATTGCAAATTGAATGCTATAGTAACTAATGAGAATCTCTGTGTTGGAATATTAGCCAATATCATACTATTACTTCATTTTACATTAAACAATTAACATTTAAGGCGATTTGTAGATATTTTTATGCATATAACACTTCATATGTTTTAATTATGCTAATTCTGATACATTATTTCTTGTTCTCAGGGTGAATTGTCAATTCCCTGAGTATCCAGAGTTTGGTGAACTAGAAAATACTCTCCATATAATTGTCCTTGGGATAATGTTAGTCTTCAATTCCTGCCCATTCCCAGCCCATGAAAAGTGCCCTGAAGTTGGCCTTGCTTGTTGGAACAGGTCGCTTTATCAACAGGCCTATCTCAATACCTAATTTGAATTCAGGGAAGAGGGTAGCAAAGTGAAGCTGCTGAAAGAGCAAGAAGCAGAATGTAATACTATAGCCCATAACCTCTAGAGTCACACTCATTGTTAAGACTTTCATTAATCCTTCTAATGTAACTCTCAGGTTGTATTTTTAATTTGTCAAGATTAGATTGCATTAGGATTGTGTTCAAGGGAGTCTATCCCTCCTTTTGGGTCTAATAATATATTCTTTTTAAATCTGGTCCTATGTTAGGTGCATATATATTTACGACTGCTTTATCTTCTTGCATAATTGATTCTGTAATCAAGATACAATATCCTTCTTGTCTCTTTCTGCAATTTTTTAAAGTCTGTTTTACCTGACATAAGTATAGATACTCCATTTGTTTTGGTTTCCATTTGCATGCTTTATTTCTAACCTTTCACTTTCAGTCTATGTGTATCTTTTTCTGTGAAGTATAGGCAGCATAATTGGGTCTTATTCTTTTTTTTTTTTAATTCATTTGGCCAGGGGCCAGCGCTGTGGCATAGTAAGTTCAGTCTCTGCCTGTGGTGCTGGCATCCCATATGGGCACCAGTTGGAATCTCAGCTGCTCTACTTCTTATCCAGTTCCCTGCTAATGGCCTGGGAAAGCAGTGGAATATGGCCTCAAGTGCTTGATCCTTGTACCTACATGGCAGACCCAGAAGAGGCTCCTGGCTCTTGGTGTTCGCTCTGGCAGATCTGGGGAGCAAACCAAAAGATGGAAGACCTCTCTTCTCTCTCTGTCTCTTCCTCTCTCTGTCTGTAATGCTGCATCTCAAATAAATAAATAAATCTTTTAAAAATTCATTTGGCCTTCTGTATATAAAGATAATTGAAAATGCTGGGTCGGCGGTGCGGCTCACTAGACTAATCCTCCGCCTAGCGGCGCCAGCACACCGGGTTCTAGTCCCGGTCGGGGTGCCGGATTCTGTCCCAGCTGCCCTCTTCCAGCCAGCTCTCTGCTGTGGCCAGGGAGTGCAGTGGAGGATGGCCCAAGTCCTTGGGCCCTGCACCCCATGGGAGACCAGGATAAGTACCTGCCATCGGATCAGCGCGGTGTGCCGGCCGCAGTGCGCTGGCCGCGGCGGCCATTGGAGAGTGAACCAACGGCAAAGGAAGACCTTTCTCTCTGTCTCTCTCTCTCAGTGTCCACTCTGCCTGTCAAAAAAAAAAAAAAAGAAAATGAATCTTGATGTGAATGGAATGGGAGAGGGAGTGGCAGATGGGTGGGGTGCGAGTGGGAGGGAAATTATGGGGGAGGGGGAGCCATTGTAATCCATAAACTGTACTTTGGAAATTTATATTTATTAAATAAAAAAAATTCATTTGGCCAACCACTACTTTTGACACGAGAATTCAATCCATTTACATTCCAGGTTAATACTGATAGAAAATTCCAGCTGGAATAACTAAGAATTCAAGAGAAGACTAAAACAATAAAATCTTAGATGAAAGAAGAGATGCTAAAACTGTATCACAGAAATACCTAGAATCATGAGACTTTAAAAAAATTACATGCAAAAATGGATAACCTAGAAGATATTTATAAATTTTTAGAAATATACAACCTACCAAGACTGAATCATGCAGGAATAAAAAAATCTGAAGAGACTGATAATGAATGAAGATGTTGAGCCAGTAACCAAAAACTCCTGATGAGGAGAACCAAGAACCTGAAGACTTTAGTAGTGAATTCTATAAAATATTTAAAGAATAAAGAATGACAATCCTACTCTCTTACAAAAAGTTAAAGTGAGAGGAATATTTCCCAGTATATTTTATATGGCCAGCATTGCCAAGTAACACAGCCACACTAGGACACTACAAAGAAAAGAAAATTAGATGGGTATCTTCGATGAACATAGATGCAAAAATCCTCAACAAAATACTAGCAAACTAAATTCAATCTCACATGGAAAGGATAATATGCAATGATCAATTGGGACTTATCCCTGGGAGGCAAGGAAGATTCAAATATACAATCCAGTGAATGTAGAACATCACAATAGCAGAGTGATAAATAGAAGTCATATGATTATCTCAATAGATTCAAAAAGTAATTTAATGAAATTTCATTTCAGTTGATGTACTAGTGCAGTGTAATGACAATAGTGGAAAGGGGGGCTGGCACTGTGGCATAGCAGGTTAAGCCACAGCCTGCAGCACCATCATCCCATACGAGCAGCAGTTTGAGTCCCAGCTGCTCCACTTCCAATACAACTCCCTGCTAATGTACCCGGGAAAGTAGCAAAGACAGCCAAGTCCCTGGGCTCCTGCATCCATGTGGGAGACTCAGTCCTGGCTCGTTCCTGGGGAGTGAACCAGGATATGGAAGATCAATCGATCTCTCTCTCTCTCTCTCTCCCTCTCTCTCTTTTTTCTATGTCTCTCCTTTCTCTGTAACTATATCTCTCAAATAAATAAATCTTAAAAAAATGGAAAAGGTGCTCCTTTCCAACCTCTGACCGTATCATACCTTTTCCCCTCTGTAGCAATCAATCCTAGCCTGGTTTTCACTTCCTCCATGAGCCTTTGCTGACATATCAGGTGGAATTGTTTTCCTCACTTAGAATTTTATGTCAGATTGGTGATAAGCATAAATGGTATCAACTCAAGTGAATGATTATCAAAACAAAACCCTTAAAAGTTTAAGAAATGGGCATTTGCCTTATTCTCTAGGTCTCAAAGGATACATTTAGTAAATCTAATTTAGTGCTTT